TACTGAAGCCATATGTTGACATACCATCATTAACCCCAAACCAAAATTTGCACTCTGATGTTTAATTGACAGCTCGATCCTATGTAAAACAGCTTCTATTCTTTCTTGTGGGATTCCTTCTCTGAAAGAAAATTCCTCTATTTTAATCGTGTATGTTTGAAAGTCAGTTCAATTTTATTATATCAGGAAATAGTGTCCTTTCAACCATGCGCCACATGCTACATTTTAGTATTAAGCAGTACATCATCTCTAGTATACCTTGCATTGAGTTTACTTAATAATTGAACTTTGTCATAAAACTAATTAATTCAGCCTTATGTTTGATGCAGCTCTATAAAGGCCGTTTACACTTGCGATTTGTGAAGCTCGATTGTCACGCGTCTGAGTTTCGAACATGCTTGAAATTTAGCTGCAACTCACGGTGATTTTTCGATCGCCGCRACAATCGCAGCGCTATTTACACGTACGATTTGAGGTTTGTCGCGCGACCATCGCGCTTCAAAAATCGCAAGTGTAAACGGGCCTTAATGCAYAGTATTGCCAATCAAAGGGTTATGAATGGCTATAAAAAGAAAACTCCAAACAACTCTGACTGATAAGAATTAAACACAATATATAGTCTGCAAGTTTTATACTATGATTCATTTAATTATAGCTAACATAGTACGCATAGCACGGATGCGAAGATGCAATAATATAAAAAGCAATAAGCAACACATTTTCGTGCATTCCTTATGAAATAAACCAAGCGGGATGTTGGGGGAACACGAAAGAGTTGTAAAAAATTTCGARCYGGAGGCRAATGAAAACATCCCAAATCTTGTGAGTGCCTAAGGCTATTGATATCTATCCAAAATCATTCCAATCTGCTCCCAGTATTTTATCCACCATAATAATAAAGCGTACTTACTCTATTACTTTATCAAATGTTTGTTGAATTATTTCTTTTACTTTTTGAACATCATCGGGGTGAATTCCCTTTAAGCCAACTGAAAACGACGAATCCTTGGTTCCGTTATCATAACTATACAACATAAAACATRTTTAATTTTTCATCTATAATCATGACAAATGTAATCAAGAGAGTGTGGCAGACAATATAGCCATACAATACCTAGTGCTA